TGGTCTTCCTGGGGCTTGGGTTGGGGGCAGAGTCACAAAAATAAATCATATGGGGTCTAGGGGGTTTTGTTGAGCTTACAGGAGGTACATGATTATTGTTTATGCAGGAAGAATTTATGGGGTGTCTATGATGCCCCAGGCATTGAGGGTATGGCAGCAACTGACAAAACCAAGTCCCGTGCTCTAGGAATTGATTCCTGGTGTCAGGCAACAACAGGAAAAGGAAACAGAACATCTATGGCCCATCAGGCCTGTACCATCAGGCAGGGAGTGATGGAGAGAGAGGAGCAGCCTGTTTGGGGTGAGGTCAGGGAAGCTACGCTCTATGAGAGGGCAGGCAGCTGCCCAAAGACAGGGTTGGGAGAGGATAAAGGAAGCAGGTGAGCAAGTGGAGGTGGGAGTGGCCAGCCACCTTCTGGGGTAAAGCAGGAGGGAGGCGGGGAACACCTCCTCAGTCAGGCTAGCAAGAACTAGGGGGACCACCTGGGTGGGTCCTATAGGAGAGGTTCATTTCAAGGCCCCAGTGAGCTGTGTCAGGGCCCCACTAAGCCCTTCTGCACACACACCAACATTCTAGCGCAGGCCTGGCATGAGGTGACGTGGACACACATTTCATCAGATGTAGGGGCTAGCTAAGATCCGGCTTCGGAGAGTGGCACACTCACCTGCAATCTGTTCTTCGGTCAGCTGGTCAGCCTGGAGAAGGAGCAAGGAGAGGAAGTCACTGGGCTACCCACCCACCCTGCAGGTGGCCTCCTGCCCAGCCCCCTCTGCTGAGGCTAGCTTCCCAAGGTGCACCTGCTGGGCACTCAGGGGCTGGGACAGTCAGGACCCACAGGTCAGGTGGCAGGGTGGGCTGCAACCACAGGCAGGCTGTGGAACCACCCAGTCCCAGGACAGGAGCAGGGCTGCTCCAAGCCCAACCTGGACAGGATATATGCTGTGCCAAGGTTTCACTTCGGGAGTCCCAAAGGCTAAGGCAAGAAGCAGCTACCCTAGAGGCCTCATCAAGTGCTCCAGAAGGATCCAAAGCAAAACAGGCCAGTCCTTGACTAGGGAGGAAGGAAGCTATCTGGGGCTATATTTGCTAGTTTCTCCATCACCTCTTTGGAGGCACCAGGCCCCAGCAGCTAGACTGTCAGTGGCAACATCTCTTTTAATGGGTGTCTCCAAGCTGCTCCAGGGCTTGAAAGAACCCTGGTCAGGAGAGTCTGCTCTACCCGCTCATGTGCAGGGTTCCATTCTGTTCTGCTACTTTCGGGCCAGCGGCAGGGAGCGACTGCAGCAGGTAACCATGGTGGCAAAGAAGTCTGCCTTCCTGATTCGGCGCTGCAG